AAAAAAATGAACATGGAAAAGATTGCAGCAGCATTTTCCAACAAACTTTAAAAATAATTGTGAATACATCACATATGAAGACAACGCTGCTGGAAACAAGCAAAAAGGCTGTTCAATCCAGATCCACATATAAAGCCAAAACAAATGCGTCCCGGAGTTGTCTTCCTTACAAATGAGAGAAGCGGGGAGCTGTAATGGGTGCAAACTCGGATCCAGAACCCTGTCTAGCACCCAAAGACCAGTGACCGGCTGTACTGTAACATTAGTACAATGGAAAAGACTAGCAATAAAGGCTTCATAAAAAAAGCAACTATGACATTGAGATCAGTCTACAGAGTGTACAACATAAACGTCTGTTAAATACATGAACCTGTGAGAAATGGAAAAGAAATGTACACAATGTTCCCTATAGTTCTACTTCACATCCCGGAGCTTGAACGATGTCGGGGGAAAGTTCAGAATCTCACGTGCTGGTAGATTTCCCTTCTGCCGTCTCCTCCTCCTCCTTGGACAAGTGTTTCTGGAAAGGAAAGAGGGAATGAGTATTTCTGCCTGTAGGGATCAGTCACAGACACCCCAGGAAGCTTTGAGACTTTAGTATGCACCGTAAAATCATTTTCTATATTTCCATTAAGGGGCACACAGCTTGATATCACGCAACGTAACTTTATACACCTCTGCCAACCAGAGGAATGGAAAATAGGCACACACAAAAAAACTGCCAGCCACCCCCCTCCCCCTCCCCCAGAGGCTATAAGGTCTCGTTCACACCTCGGCGTATTGCATATGCGCGTCTGTCGCGCGTTTTTTAACCGCGATTTGCGGTAAAAAAGTAATGCGCCCGTCGCGTGTTTCCGAAGCCTACTTGGCTGTATCCCAATGGAAACGCGCAACAAAACGGCCCAAAGTAGTACCTGTACCTTTTCAGGCGTGGGCCGTTTTGTAGCGCGTTAGGGACGGGCGGAAATACGCCAAGGTGGGAACGAGACCATTGAATACAATGGGATTTATTTTTTTGAACGAGGGCTAAGGGTCCACACAGCTTATTGTGCAATCACTAAACGTATGCCGTACCACTTTCCTTTTAAAGAGACTTGCCGTTATGATGGAAATATCTAGGAGGAGATTGCATAATGCGATTACCCAACATCACAACCCAGTGAGCCTTGTTCATATAACACGTTTTCAGTACCTGCACTGACTGGTAATGGCGCAGGCTCTTGCAGTGTTTTATCTTGGATGCATCATCCATGTAAAAGAGCGAACACAGTTCACAGAAAAAGCCGGTCTTGGGAACAAGAAATTCTAGACCTGCAAAATAAAGAAATAAAATGTAACTTCTGGAAGACGGATAGTGACATTTCAGGCGAGATTCACAGCGTAGAGAGGCAAATCTGAGGTCGTTATAGGAAACACTCAGATTGAATGATTCTCATAACCTTGTACAAGCTCGGTGTTGAAGCTTACACAGGGTTGATATCACCCCAATTGACGGTGTTTATGTATGTTGCAGGATAGCTCAGCCATGCATGAGCTGATCTCCTTGACAGTCCAAACTCACCTACTGGCACCGAAGAATTGAATGGGCCCAATTTCTTCTTCTCTGTGGAAGGAGATTCCAGTTTTGTTTTCTTTGCTGGAGTTTCAGAAGCTTTAGGCGTACTTGAATCTGTGAAAAACACAAGTAGCTGAAGTTGGTGAATGTTGCAGTACAATCGGCACACTGGCCCGCATGTACAATCTCTTTATAAGTAACAGGAGACAAAGGAATAATATTTCACCACAGTATGCTGCCTATGTGCTGGCTGATGTGATCTGAATCTGTTTACAGAATAGCATATGGGAGAATATCTGCTCATCTTTTCCGAGGCCTTTGTACACATCACCTACCAGGTACAACTCTCTCCGGGGTGGGTATGGTGCTGTCCTCGGCTACGCTCTGGTTAGCACCTTTAGCGGCCTTTGCTTTGGTCTTCTTAGGGGTCTTCGGCTCACTAACCATACTGGAGTCGGCAGAAGTCGGCTCTGACGTGTCTTTGCTGGCAGGGGTTTCTGATAAAGGATGTTTTCTGGGCCTGCCTCTTCGTCCAGTTGGTGTTTTGGGAGCTGTAAAAAAAAAATACATAAAAATAAAGGGTTTAAATAAAACGCGGCATAGTAACTGTGCAATTCTCTGCTGAACATAAAGCAAGAAGAGAACGCAAATGTTTTATCATCTAGATATCTTAGCATTGCTCCACCTCCCGTCTACCACGTCATAGCCCTTCCCTTTACCTAGTAGTGTCCAACTACTCTGTGCTGGCCCAGCTCTTATCCGTTCCATTCACCTACCTAAAACCTTATGTAGCTGAGGAAGGAGGAGCAAAGGGAATACAATAGTTTCATCTGAGTGACAGAACTGTCTGCTACGGCTGATGACATCACATCCAGGATGGCGGCACCCAGGAGTCTAAGGGCCTTAGGGTGTCTACAAAAAAATTGTCTTTTACAGGTAAACACTCACAAAATTAGGGATGCAGCGATATATTGGCCGCCAAAACTGATGGCCAAAAATGCCACCTTCTTGCCGATATAGCTGTACATCTTTTCTTTCTCTCCTCCCTGCTGGGCGCTGCTCTGTGTCCCAGCAGGGAGGAGAGAAACTGTCATTGGCAGCCGAGCGCTGCAAGGGGCCGGCGTCTCTCCCCCGCGCACCGCCCAGCCTCCTGTCACAGTCCGGCAGAGCGGTGTGTGTGGGCGGAGACAGGCCGCACTGTCACAGGAGGCTGAGCTCTCCTTCCGCAACGCTTGCTCAGCCTCCTGTGACAGCGAGGACAGACTATGGTTACTATATCCTCAATTATGAATGAATGGGAAGTGATCTACATCCCCTCCTGTTCATTCATGATTGTGGTTATAGTAAATACACTCTGTCCTCATGTAATGAACAGGAACACTCAGTTTGCTGATCATTGATAACAGGGGATACAGAAAAAGAGAGATTGAGAACGCAGAGTCCTCTCTCTCTTTTTCTATGTTAAAAGGGAAGTATCAGGGACCTGTTTAGACCCCCGATATTTCCCCGAAGCCCCTAAAAGTAATGTAAAAAATATTTAATAAAGATGAATAAAAAGTTAAAAAAATATTTGAAGAAATTTTCGGTTTCGGCCGGACTTTTTCATTTCGGTGCACCTCTACATAAAACCGCACGCAATATCTTATGGGAGGATTTTCCCTGACAGGGTCTAAAGTAAGCAGAAAATGAGCTCTGTGGCTACAGGCATTGTGGAGCAGTTCACCTTCAACGATCACAATACAGTCACTGAACTTGGGTTGCAGCCAGCATCTGAACTTACCAAAAAATGATATCTATATCTATCTATACACACACAGTATACTATAGATCAGGGGTGTCAAACTCAATTTTAATCGAGAGCCGCATCAACATTATGGGCGCCCTCAAAGGGCCTGTAAGATAAATGTATCTAATCTTTATAATAATTGCCTCTGCATTCGATCATCACTGGTTTTAGTAATAACATAATACCTAGATCTAAAAGTAGAAGTCTAGGAAATGGCCTGGTGTGCCACATTCGGCCCCGGGGCCTTGAGTTGACACATGTGCTGTAAGGAGTCCACCTTTTCTCTCTGAATACAATAAAACTCACCTGGCTTTGATAATTTGGGGCTTGATTTTCTTTGTGCTGATTTACTTGCTGATTTGGGCTGCGGCTTCTCCACCTCCTCCTCCTTAGCCTCCAAATCTTCCTCCTCTTCACCAATTTCATCGACTGTTAGGAATTGGTGTTCTATATCACCGAGGAATTCCTCGTCGTCGTCATCTGCCTTCACTTCATCCAGGGTGAGAAGAGTCTGTTCAACATGGCTCTCCGGGTTCGGCTCTTGGGGAGGGACAACTGGGGTGTCTGGACTTGCCTTGGTTTCAGGGTCCACACTGCTGTTCTCTTTGCTCTCAGTCTTTTGTGTTAAGCAGGTATCTGGATTGGATGGCTCAGAGTGAGATGTCTGTTCCTCATCTTCACCGCTGACCTCGTCGAGAGTCAATAGTTGATCTTTGTCAGGGATGGCTGAAGAGCCGCCACTCGGTATGGCAGATGCATTTGGCTCCTCGTCGTCGCTAACCTCATCTAATGTCATCAGCACGCTCGAATCCTGTGTACTAGGAGGAGTGCTGTCCTCTGCGTGGACTTCGTCTACTGTCACTAGGGATGGGGCTTCCACATCCTTGATGCTTTCTGCTGCTGGTGTGGTCTCTTTCTCTTCCTCATCACCGACTTCATCCAAAGTGACAAAAGAAAGCTCCGGGGCCTCTCCGGCCGCCTCCTTGGGTTTTTTAGTGCATGAATCAGACGGATAATTTTCCTTTCTCTTTCCTCCTCTCCTGGGGGTACCAGTCACCTCAGACTTCTTACTCTCTTCCTCTTCCTGATTCACTGAATCTGTCGGTTCTTCTACAATCTCATCCACCGTAACAAACTCATCCAGATTGAATGGGAAACTATCCTCTCCTTCCTATAAAAAGAAAAAGATAAAATAACCGGGCCAAATGTCACCTGCCAACTAATCAAATGAAGAGATGAGCTGAATTTCACACTGCCCAAAACTTTTATTTATTATTAAATTGACTGAATGCTGCCATTTTCTTTATCTCTACATGGGTCAGGTCTCACCGAGGACCGAGTCTCCCCGGGTGAGCTGAAAATGATTTGGTGAATTTAAAAAAGGTGCTCTATCATTCTGTCAATCTCACATACACAATTACAAAACAGGTTAACTTTATGTTAGGGATGCACCGAAATTTTGGCCGCCGAAACATAAAATCAGCTGAAAATGCGGTGTATCCCTGGATTCTCTCCTCCCCTCTGGGTGCTGCTCTGTGTCCTCAGAGGGAGTGGAGTGGGGAGGAGAGCGTGGTCAAGCTCTCATCCCCGAAACGCACGCTTGGCCTCCTGTGACCGCGAGTCAGTATGGAGAGCGGGTTACAAGCATTTAGGGATCAGAACTGACTCCTTATAAATGATTGAGGACATAGTATGTTTACTGTGTCCCCAATTATGAACAGGAAGCGCTGTGCATAATTTCCTGTTCATTTAGGATTGTGGGCATAGTAAGTCACACTATATCCTCAGTTTATGAATGGACAGGAACACTCAGTATAGAGGCTTCCTGTTTATTCATAACAGGGGCTGCAGAAAAACAGATTGAGGACTCTGTGTCCTCAATGTCTTTTTCTATTTTAAAAGGGAAATATCAGGGGTCTGTTTAGATCTGATATTTCCCCAGGGCCCCCGACAGTTAAATAAAATAATTTTAAAAAGGGTAGAAAAATATATATTTTTCTGTTTCGGCCTGAAATTTTCATTTTGGATCACCTCTACTTTATATAACCACAAGGAAAGTTCGAAGGAAAAACTGCTCAGAAACGAGTCATACCTCTTTTGATCTTTGTCCCCGAGTACTTCGATTGGAGCTTCGTGTATACCTCGATGATGACGAGTTCTGCATAAAGAGGAATCGTATGTCAAAAATGCAGGAAATATTCCCGTTATTTCAAAAACAAAGACCAATGACGACATTTCATTGCTTGCCATCCAAATTGCAGTTTCTAAAATGCCGTGCAGCATTGGTCATGTGTCTTACTTTACACTTACAGGTCCTATTCACACTGCAGTAACCTGTTGCCATGTGGGTATTTTGCATTTTAAAATGCTTGCATTAAAGGAGAACTATGGCATAAATGTTTTTCCCCATAGTTCTCCTCAGGGTCTTGAGAGGACATATACTAGCATCCTCCCGTGACCCAAAAGCTCAGTATATCGCGAGCTACAGCTTGCGGTATACTGTGACCGCCGCAGCCGGGACAGATCTCGACATTACTGTGGAGATCCACCCAGCTGCGTGAGTGACAGCTGGCTCTGCCTATCTAGAGGCAGAGCCCGCTGTACCCATACCCTCCCGCTAGTCAGTGCTGGAGGATCGTAGCGGGGAGGCGGGAATCCCTGCAGGGAGCGGTGAGTGACAGCCACGGCTCTCTGCAGGGACATGATCAAGAAGTGAGCGAGCGACACGTGTTCGCTCACTTCCCGATCAATCGAGCCGACGTGCGACAGCTTCATTGTCACAGGTCGGCTCGAACTATGAGGTGAGTGAAAATCACCCACCTCATGGTTGTCCTTTAAGGCAGTCTATTCATTTCATAGGGATGACCACGAACAAAAACCTGGACCTGCACCCTTTATAAACACAGCATATAACTTGTTTTTTAAGCTAATGTAGTTCCGTGTTATTACAACATTCATTAAGGATGGTACCCCAAACACCAAAGTACCATTCTTTACTGCAACACACAGGTGTTGCCAATCTTAAAGATAATGTGTCCATAGATTTCCAATGCTTGCATGGAAGTTTATGGGCACTGTACTTGAAAATGGAGCAAGCCTATGGCTAGTGAAGAATTTCTGATTTGCACACTTGTTACAGGGCAATGACTGAGCATTGAAGCCTTTGGGTGCACATAAGGCAATTAACACCATCAGCTGGGGGGTTCAGCAGTGGCAGCCCATGTATCGTCTCAAGACGGGTCCCCTTTAATAGAATCCGGTATTGCCCAGAAGCAAAGCCTTTCTGGTCTAGCGGAAACTCAATTATCTTGGCTAAACATGAAAAATGGTTATGGGTCACAGCGACATCTAATGTTCCTATGGGGAATCTGCTGGGTCTAGTGTGGCGTGTCAGTAGAATCTCAGGCTGCATGCCGATCTCAGGGGTGAGCGACGTTACAGCAGATGTTTGCCGACAGGTCCCCCTTCCGCACAAAAATCTATACAGATTTATTTTTCTCAGATTCCAGAAAAAGTCACAAAAATGAATGTGTGCGAACATGTCTTCCAATGGATGGGAAAGGGCAACCATCAGGACAAATGATGAAGTACTCTGCACTCCTCGGATGGCTTTTAGGCCCGGTTCACACCTGGGCGTTTTGTAGCGCGTTCGAACGCTCTGCAAAACGCTCAAACAACGAAATCCCATTATTTCCTATGGGTATGGTTCACACCTGGGCGTATTACAGGCCGTATGAACGCGCTACAAAACGCCCAAAGAAGTACGGGAGCTCCTTTGGGGCGTTTTTGTCACGCGTTTCCATTGGGATACAGCCAAGTAGCCCTCGGAAACGTGCGTTTGTCACGCGTTTTTTACAGCGAATCGCGCATATTCGATACGCCTAGGTGTCAACCCAGCCTTACCATGATATCACTGTAAATGGTGGTGAGCACACCGTGAGATGTATCTACTGCTACCTACAAACATATCAAGTGCTGTTATAAAAATACAAAATAAAACCCAATTACAGGAAAAAGGGTTTCAAACGTGTTACCACCAAAACTGAAAAGCATCCCTACCTCCTGACACTTCCAGAAAACGTCTGGTTTATACTACGGGAAGGATAAATCCTCCACCGTCATGTCACAAATATCACAGCATGCACCTTTCCTAACTTTATGCTGTTTTTTTTTTTTTTTTTAGGGGTGCTTTTTTCCAGAAAACGTCTGGTTTATACTACGGGAAGGATAAATCCTCCACCGTCATGTCACAAATATCACAGCATGCACCTTTCCTAACTTTATGCTTTTTTTTTTTTTTTTTTTAACGGCTGTCATTGGGTACACGTATTCAGGTTGGTTCCCCAAAAAGGGATTGGACTCCTATAAAGAGATCCTCCAAAGATGACAAATCATTAAAGTGTTAAATCTGAACTCCAGGAAGCTCCATATACATGCAGACAAATTGTAACTTGTATCATCTGCCAAAGCATTTGTCATCATGTTCAGCCAGTACTGTGATCCAAGCACCCCCCCATCCCGCCGCCAGATCATATAGCCAAATCTGTGGCTTTAGTTAGTAATTGGAGCTAAAAGCAGCCTGGTTAAAACCAACGCCATGTCAGCTCAAACTGTAAGCTTCCGGTATTAGGTTTAGGGCTAGTTCGCATCACAAACAGTGCGTTACCGGGCCAATTTGGTGCCAGAACACACTGGATCGCATCGCGGCCGGCTCCCTGCGTTCGGGGTGGTGGTGGTGCATTGAAGTCAATGGCACCGAAGCCCCTCACACTGCAATGCAGTACAGCCCGACTACTTCACATGTGACCTGTTAATAACGGCCTGGAGCTCTGCTTTAACAGGAAGGCCCCTTTGTCCACGACCCAGAAGGCGTTTTCCTACTTCACGAAAAGTAAGAAAACCCCTTTAGTGAAGAACCAGCAGACTTACTTCTAAAACAATCTTATTCAATCATTCAGATATATGTACCTTTATTAAACTCTGAGAGATTGACGTGTCACCTGTACTCTGAAAAGACTCCCCTATTCCATCACCAACAGATTCAAAGCAATGCCGCTGCAAAAATAATTAGTACTGTCATTACCATCAAAAAGACTTCATTAGCTACATCTATTAGCTGTGTACCCAAAAATCTGGAAAAGCACATGAAGTCCAGCCTGGGTCTGCATAACAGGCTATGTAGCAAAAATAAAGAGACCCTGTACCATACCAGTAACAACAAGATTTAAATATGGAAACCTTCTTAATTTGTGTGCCAATCCTATGCTGCAAGCAGTCATTTTTTTTCGCTTCCCTCAACAGTTGAATTTTCTGTGTTCCCATTCCCTGTCATGGACACCACCACCGCCCCTGGTAGCAGCCCGGGAATCCTATGTATTTTAGATCCGGCAAAGCTTCCCTGGTCACTAGAAGTAAAAGGAATAGCGGGGCCCTGTGTACAGCTCACCTTATTATCACAAAGGGCAGCCACAGATAATGCAATGTAATTAGATCCACATAACATATGAACGTTCCTGGCATGGCAACAAAGCCTCTAATAACCAACTTTATTTTCTACACGCATACTCTTAATTAAAATCAACATTAGCAAGTTTTTTTATTTAGTACAGTAACTTATTTGACCCACTTTATATTATAGCAATCACAATATTCAGAATCTCCTGGCACTCTATGGTAGCGAGCACCTGGCAGGTCGCATGCACTACGTCATTCGGTGACTTTAAGGCCCATCAGTGGCTCTGCCTGACCACCATGCATGGTATATAGCAGCACCATATTCCCAGCTGGAGACAGAGGGAGCCTTGAGTTGCTTGTATCAAAGTCTGCCCAACTAGTTCTCCCCCCATGGAGGAACTCATGAAATAGGATCTCATGGAACCCTCAATATTAGACCCAATATTGGAGCTTATGGTACCTTAATAGAATTAGCATGTTGTAAAAATGCAACCCCTTCCCACTGGTGGCAAGTATAAAAAATGCAACCCCTTCCCACTGGTGGCAAGGATACAAAATGCAACCCCTTCCCACTGGTGGCAAGGATACAAAATGCAACCCCTTCCCACTGGTGGCAAGGATACAAAATGCAACCCCTTCCCACTGGTGGCAAGGATACAAAATGCAACCCCTTCCCACTGGTGGCAAGGATACAAAATGCAACCCCTTCCCACTGGTGGCAAGGATACAAAATGCAACCCCTTCCCACTGGTGGCAAGGATACAAAATGCAACCCCTTCCCACTGGTGGCAAGGATACAAAATGCAACCCCTTCCCACTGGTGGCAAGGATACAAAATGCAACCCCTTCCCACTGGTGGCAAGGATACAAAATGCAACCCCTTCCCACTGGTGGCAAGGATACAAAATGCAACCCCTTCCCACTGGTGGCAAGGATACAAAATGCAACCCCTTCCCACTGGTGGCAAGGATACAAAATGCAACCCCTTCCCACTGGTGGCAAGGATACAAAATGCAACCCCTTCCCACTGGTGGCAAGGATACAAAATGCAACCCCTTCCCACTGGTGGCAAGGATACAAAATGCAACCCCTTCCCACTGGTGGCAAGGATACAAAATGCAACCCCTTCCCACTGGTGGCAAGGATACAAAATGCAACCCCTTCCCACTGGTGGCAAGGATACAAAATGCAACCCCTTCCCACTGGTGGCAAGGATACAAAATGCAACCCCTTCCCACTGGTGGCAAGGATACAAAATGCAACCCCTTCCCACTGGTGGCAAGGATACAAAATGCAACCCCTTCCCACTGGTGGCAAGGATACAAAATGCAACCCCTTCCCACTGGTGGCAAGGATACAAAATGCAACCCCTTCCCACTGGTGGCAAGGATACAAAATGCAACCCCTTCCCACTGGTGGCAAGGATACAAAATGCAACCCCTTCCCACTGGTGGCAAGGATACAAAATGCAACCCCTTCCCACTGGTGGCAAGGATACAAAATGCAACCCCTTCCCACTGGTGGCAAGGATACAAAATGCAACCCCTTCCCACTGGTGGCAAGGATACAAAATGCAACCCCTTCCCACTGGTGGCAAGGATACAAAATGCAACCCCTTCCCACTGGTGGCAAGGATACAAAATGCAACCCCTTCCCACTGGTGGCAAGGATACAAAATGCAACCCCTTCCCACTGGTGGCAAGGATACAAAATGCAACCCCTTCCCACTGGTGGCAAGGATACAAAATGCAACCCCTTCCCACTGGTGGCAAGGATACAAAATGCAACCCCTTCCCACTGGTGGCAAGGATACAAAATGCAACCCCTTCCCACTGGTGGCAAGGATACAAAATGCAACCCCTTCCCACTGGTGGCAAGTGTAAAAAATGCAACCCCTTCACACTGGTGGTTAGTGAACTATGTGCACTAACCACTAGTATGTGCCACGCATTCGGGTGCCTGCGATCGCACTGCGGGCATGGTTTGCGGTGTCATTGAGTTAAATGCACCGCCACGCCCCCTCCCCAAAACAAAGTGAGCCGGCCGGGTTGCGTGCCAGAGGCCGAACGCACTCCTGATGGTGTCCCTGTTATGTCTCTCCCCCTCCCCTGCAGCGGTCTAAAAAGTCCAGTAAATCATCACATCTATACACTGTGCACAGACGTGAGGAAACTGAGGAACATTCCAATGTGATGCGGACGAGGAGAAGACAGGCTGGAGGGAGCCTGCTCAAAACCCCCGCTCAAATCTGTATGAAGTTACCCAGTATACTTGCATTGCTCCTGTCAATACATGATTTCCCAGACTGCTTCTCATGTCTTTAATGCTGATGGATGCGAGAACTGCAATCACTGTAGGCATTCCACACCGAGGTCTCATCTGACCAGGTAGGAATTTGTAACCATTTAAGAAAACCATTGTGAAAGTCTCTGCAAGATTATTCCAGAGCTAGACAAAGCCTGGGTGCAAAGAACAGATGGAAGCCTAAGTATAAAAGGCTTCCCATCAATCACCAGAATCAAGGGAGTGACAGTTTGAAGTTCTGAATTAGGCAAACACCCACATTTTACTTAGACCTGATCTGTTAAATGAGCAAGCTAGTTGGATATAAAGATATACATACGCATTTATTTTCCCTCGATGTATAAGTTAAATACAAGCAGGATGGCAGCAATATGTTTTATTCTTTCTACTTAGGTGTGCTGCACTGTGGTTGTGTCATTTTATCTCAACATAATTCTAACTACGGATGCACTGATTTCCACGGTCTCTCTTTCCCCCCCCCCCCGGTCCTCGCCGATACAGACTACCGATACCTGTGCCATGTGTCCCGATTATCAGGAAGTCAGGCGGCAGATTATGACCCGCCGCCCAGCTTCCTGATTGCCTGGGACGCCGGTGTTCTATCGAAAAGGACATTGGCTTCACTTCCCAAGGCTGCCTGACCAATCAGGAAGCCGGGCCATGAGGTGCTGTCCAGCTTCCTGATTGGCTAGGAAGCCGGCTTGGATCAGTCGAATGTATAAATGAAAAAGCTAACCACTGAATATACAACTTTGCATGGTTCAACGTAAACATTAGGACACATGGGATAAAAACGTAGAAAATAAACTTACGCTATCCTTAGAGCGGTCGTCCTTCCTGTTGGACCTGGAGTCGCTCTCCCGTGATCTGGAGGTGACTTTTGAGTCTCTGTCCTGAGCGCTGGCACCTCTGTAACTGCTCTTTGTCTGGTATAATCCAGTGCCGGTTTTCGGGTTACTGGATGCGCTCTCTGATGGACTAGATCGGTTACTACTCGATTTCGGGGTGCTGCTCTCTCTTCCTGAAGATCCCCTATCTCCAGAAAACCTTTTTCTGGTGTCTGGTGTCCTTGAAGAAGACTTCTGACTATCCACTGTAAGTGTTACAGACAATTCCCCCCTTTGAGGATTATATTTCGCTGTCCTGGTTAAGGATGCTTTGCTTGCTGCTGCCGCCGCCGCTTGTTCTGCGTCTTTGGACCCTTCACTAGCTTCTCCGGCCAGCTCGTCTACATTTCCCTGTGAAGATTGCCTGCTCCTCTCTCTCCTCTGTCTAGACTTGTCCTCTTGGGCCATTTCTTCGCTGCGTTTACTCCTCCCTTCCCTCGGGCTACGACCACATTCAGATTTGGTTTCCTTATCGCTGTTCTCTTCAGCCCTGGTGGCTATAGTCTCCTCTTTACTGGAAGGGCTGATGACCGCAGAGGAACCCTCAGACTCCTTCTTGGTGGGTTCACAAGCTGCGTCTTGAGATGCTTCAACGCTCAACTCCTCCTTCCCTGCATCCTCGGGCTTCAGGTCATCTACAGCTGAGGCGTTTTCTACAGGTTTTGGACAATCGCCTAACATTTCATTAGCAGATGTCTCCATCTCATGGCTTTCAGACTCCTCCGAGTCTTCAGCTGTCAGCATGTGTTCCATACTGACACTGTCCATCACTGGTACTGCACTTGGGATAGAAGGACACGGTGGTGCTTCACATTCCTCCTCGTCAGATTCAACAGACACGAGAACATCCGACTCTGCCGCCAAATACGTCTGAGGAGCCTCACTATATTCGCACTGCTCCACTACTGGCTCCGGATGGATAAAGTAAGACGATGGTGCCTCTGGAGCTTCAGGTGCTTCTGCTGCTTCCTCATCGTCATCATCATCCTCCTCCTCCTCTACATTAGCAAATGTGCCTTCAGCTTTCTCTTCTGCCTCGACGACGTGGTCAGCAGACAAAGGCTGCTGCTCCTCCAACTGGCTGACTTCATCAAGAATAGGGGGGGCCACTTCTTCATGTGTGTTTTGATCAGGCTTGGAGCTGGAAGGCGTTACATAGTAAAATATTAAAACACCCTTCCATTTCATGTCAGACTACGTCACTCAGACCAAGGTGTCTATGGTCCTTGTGCGTCTTGAAATTGCCCTAGTTGCCTGTCCTCTGCCACAGCATCCCAAAGCTGCAATCACAAGTTCCACCTACAGAGTAACCTGGCAAAGTCTAGTGCTGGGAAAGACCTGACTGAAGGAACTTAGGAGGTTGGAACCTCCTTGTGACACTACAGAGGGCGGTGTCAATTACAAAGTGTATTCCTATTTAAAGTGGAATCCCCTTCGGGGCTCAGTCACACCATATCCAGTGCGTTCCGAGCTTGAAACACTGTGGATCATAAAGATCAAGCCAGGCAGCGTTCACGTCAATGGTACTGCATACACGCCCCACCGGAACACGAGGTACAGGAATGCCCTTGTTCTATTGAGATGTCCCAACTCCCGTCAGGGCGCTTGCGTGGCCATCCAAGAGCAGGATCACGTTCTCTAATTTGCGTTACTGCGTCTGCACCCCATGGCACAAGCACTAACGCCAGTTGGAGAATTCGATGAGGATTGCAAGGCCGCACAGGTGTACTGACGGCAAATGGGAAAGTCAACGAGGCTTGTAAAAATGCCACGACTGGGGCATGCGCACCAGCGCCATCTTGTCGAAGTCTCCAACGGATGCGACGTCACAAGTTGGAGATCTCGACGAGTTGGCCATTTCGACAGAACACCCTCCCTTCCGCTGCAGTGCAATCAGAAAAAATGGTTCATGCACTGGATATGGTGTGACTGGGCCCTCAGAGAATTACGTACATAACAGCATTTCCTACTTTCACACACTTGTCCTTTCGTAGCAGATCTCATCTACAAGTAAATAGCAGGGTGGTCTTCTAGCTTCCCATCTTAACACACCTATTGCCATTTTTAAGAACTCATTCTTACTAAAAGTTTGTATTTTTAACCCAGAGCAAGACAGCAAATTTGTAATTTTACAAATGACTTGAGAGGAAACACTATCGAAAACGATTAAATGGATATATTTACATAGAAAGAAAATTACCTTTTCATTTCTTCCAGATAAGTTATATATTCACCCTAGGTAGAAGAAAAAAAAAAAGACAATGATATACAATGTGTGCATGGTTTCTTAACACAAGGACATCCATGGAACATGAACCTGTGGTCGCTCAGCTAGTCAGGTCTCATGCAGCTGGCTGGTCTTACCTCGGGAAGAGTGGTCTTGGCAACCAGACTGCATGTCAGTACAGACTCCCCAATACGGGCTGGGAACCGGGACAGGAAAGTGTGCATACCCTTGGCAGCACCGGGAGTGTTCAAATGCAGGATTGCCTGTGTAGACAACATGAATATGTTAGGAGCAAAAAGCAGGTTAATTAACATATCCATACCACCATATGAGATCACAGAGTAGGTACAGGAAACCTGTGCTGACAAAATATGTGGGATGCCATTGTTGAACGGGCAGCTTTTAAAAAAGCTGCCTGTCTGGAACTTTTGTGACTTCCAAAGACCTATGTCTTGTCTGAGTACTGAGGCCCGAGGTGGCAGCGTGACTTTTAAAGCTGAAATTCATCCGATTCTATTTCTGCATTTGTATTGAATTAAAAGAAGTGCGGGGAGAGTAAGATAGACTCTTCCCACTGCTTAGAGCCGGCATGGGACACTATGGCTCTATACACGAGAGGCGAGTAGTCACGTAACAACTGATCAGTCAGCTCTCAGTCACCGCTCCCCACTGGGAGAAAAGACCGTCAGTTGCTGCTCCCCAGTTCTGTTCCTTGGGTGCTCATTGGAGGGACAGATGGTGGGGGGAGAGGCACGTTGAGCTGGCTCTGCAAAGAGGCAGAGACAGTTGTCGGGCACCTGGTGGGATCCCGACTCCTGTGACCCCAAAATCTGCACTTTTTTAAATTAGATTACAACAATGTAGAGGACAAACATGTGAGAGAACGGCTTATATAGAGACATACTAAATACTAATCACAAACGAAGGAACTATGAATGACAACCATGTGCACATCCGAGTAATAATGTACTCACTCTTCTCCTATTGCTCATCACTATATAATGTTCCACCTTTCCAAACCGAAGCCCGATACGCGTTAGCGCAAACTCCTCTATTTCACTGTCCGGCAGATTTGCGAGATGCACAAACCTTTCATAGATTGTTGGCGTGATCTGAAAAAGAAAAATCACATGAATACAACAAGACTGCAAGGAAGCTTCCCATCCAAACTACAGGGACAGCTCCTTGCATCCAAACTACAGGGACAGGAGACAGCTCCATGCATCCAAACTACAGGGACAGGAGACAGCTCCGTGCATCCAAACTAGAGACAGCTCCTTGTATCCAAACTACAGAGGCAGCAGAGGGCTCCTAGCACCCAAACTACAAGGACAGCAGGCAGCTCCGTGCATCCAAACTACAGGGACAGCAGGCAGCTCCATGCATTCAAACTACAGGGACAGCAGACAGCTCCTCACATCCAAACTAGAGACCGCTCCTTGCATCCAAACTACAGAGACAGGAGACAGCTCCATGCATCCAAACTAGAGACAGCTCCATGCATCCAAACTAGAGACAGCTCCTTGTATCCAAACTACAGAGGCAGCAGAGGGCTCCTAGCACCCAAACTACAAGGACAGCAGGCAGCTCCGTGCATCCAAACTACAGGGACAGCAGGCAGCTCCATGCATTCAAACTACAGGGACAGCAGACAGCTCCTCACATCCAAACTAGAGACCGCTCCTTGCATCCAAACTACAGAGACAGGAGACAGCTCCATGCATCCAAACTATAGGGACAGGAGACAGCTCCATGCATCCAAACTACAGGGACAGGAGACAGCTCCATGCATCCAAACTAGAGACAGCTCCATGCATCCAAACTACAGAGACAGCTCCTTGCATCCAAACTACAGAGACAGCTCCTTGCATCCAAACTACAGGGACAGCAGACAGCTCCATGCATCCAAACTACAGGGACAGGAGACAGCTCCGTGCATCCAAACTACAGGGACAGCAGACAGCTCCATGCATCCAAACTACAGGGACAGGAGACAGCTCCGTGCATCCAAACTACAGAGACAGCAGACAGCTCCGTGCATCCAAACTACAGGGACAGCAGACAGCTCCATGCATCCAAACTACAGGGACAGGAGACAGCTCCGTGCATCCAAACTACAGAGACAGCAGACAGCTCCGTGCATCCAAACTAGAGACAGCTCCTTGTATCCAAACTACAGGGACAGCAGAGGGCTCCATGCATCCAAACTACAAGGACAGCAGACAGCTCCGTGCATCCAAACTACAGGGACAGCAGGCAGCTCCATGCATCCAAACTACAGGGACAGCAGACAGCTCCATGCATCCAAACTACAGGGACAGCAGACAGCTCCATGCATCCAAACTACAGGGACAGCAGACAGCTCCATGCATCCAAACTACAGGGACAGCAGACAGCTCCATGCATCCAAACTACAGGGACAGCAGACAGCTCCATGCATCCAAACTACAGGGACAGCAGACAGCTCCATGCATCCAAACTACAGGGACAGCAGACAGCTCCATGCATCCAAACTACAGGGACAGCAGACAGCTCCATGCATCCAAACTACAGGGACAGCAGACAGCTCCATGCATCCAAACTACAGGGACAGCAGACAGCTCCATGCATCCAAACTACAGGGACAGCAGACAGCTCCGTGCATCCAAACTAGAGACAGCTCCTTGTATCCAAACTACAGGGACAGCAGAGGGCTCCATGCATCCAAACTACAAGGACAGCAGACAGCTCCGTGCATCCAAACTACAGGGACAGCAGACAGCTCCGTGCATCCAAACTAGAGACAGCTCCTTGTATCCAAACTACAGGGACAGCTCCTTGCATCCAAACTACAGGGACAGCAGAGGGCTCCTGGCATCCAAACTACAAGGACAGCAGACAGCTCCATGCATCCAAACTACAGGGACAGCAGGCAGCTCCATGCATCCAAACTACAGGGACAGCTGGCAGCTCCATGCATCCAAACTACAGGGACAGCAGGCAGCTCCATGCATCCAAACTACAGGGACAGCAGACAGCTCCGTGCATCCAAACTACAGGGACAGCAGACAGCTCCATGCATCCAAACTACAGGGACAGTGGACCACTTCTTGATACAAAATGTATGCACAGCAATTTAATACCTTGAATTGAGTTTGTTCTATGATCTCAGCAAAGATTAGATTCTGTTGAGGAAAGAAAACAAGTATATATTATAGTAGAAAAATGCAGATATGAATCATAATTCTTAGACATTAACACAAAGCAGCTATAGTTTTAACTGATAACTGCAGGTTTAGGTCTCAACAGATTATAAATTATGCTATTCCCCACTAGCCCACCTACAACATATTGTAAGCACTTGTGCACAATCATACCTGCTAATTCACTCCTTTAAAAGTGGGACTGAACTCAAAAAAAAGGAAGATTTGCTATGTTATAGGTAAAATCTAGAAATGTTAAGCACCACCTTTAAAAATGTACCATTTGTCTAGAATTCCACCTGAAAAGTGTACCCTGCCTGGTATGCAAGGGTGCCTAAGCACTTCTGCAGTGTGAGATCCAAGCCACTGCTGCTTAGATACTGTATGTCCTTGATCAGTTGCTCACTGATCTGCTTGCTGGAGGATCTAACATGAGAAAGCAAAGCCCTGCTTCTGCCAAGATGGCCACCTCCACACAGACAGTGCAGAACAAGGCATGGGAAGTCAGAAATGTGGAAAAGATCAGTGCAGGAAGATCCCAGGGAATAGCTTTCACAGTTCAGGTCATTCAAGTATGCATTGGCACAAATGTTCTTTTGTCCATCTACAATTTCCTTTGCCATCTGCCTGCACTATACAGTGTTGCTTGCTTCACATCTTTAAGCCATATGCAGAGAAGATTTGGGCACAACTGAAACCATAAACCTGTTTACTCATCCCAATAATGGATATGAACGCATTAAGACCATGTAGAAACTAAAGTCCACCATACAAAAAAGTGAGACCCTCTCCACATCGGTGACACCTCACAGTGCTATTGACATTTATTCACAGAAGTTTGTCTTCATTCTGTGTTAGAACGGTCACTGTGTTTTATGGCCCGACATTTAGTCATTCATTTAGGATTTACTATTTGGCTACATTGTTAAATGAATTTGTTTCAATTTCTTATGTACGAGTTGAATAGTTGATAGAGTAATTTGAAGGATATATTTTCATATACATGCATTTGATCGATACGAATAACATATTTAAAATAACCCCAATCTTTTCATATTTACACATTTTTGGTGGTTTATAGAAACAACCGCTCAAGTAGCGGTCAGCCCATTAAAAATGTAGCTCTTTCTCACCTCATTCTTCAAATCCTTGTACCTCGGAGCCATGGCAATGGTCAGTGTATTTCCAGAAAGGCAGGTTGGGAACACATTGTAAAACTTGAGCATTGAATCCACAGAGTTTCTGCTGGGCAACTCCAAATAAGCCTGCATAACAAAGTAGAACCTAGGTCACTTAAACATAGAATATTCGGGTGATTTGTTAAACATATAGAATAATCAGGCGATTTGTTAAACATATAGAATATTCGGGCGATTTGTTAAACATATAGAATAATCGGGCAATTTGTTAAACATATAGAATAATCAGGCGATTTGTTAAACATATAGAATATTCGGGCAATTTGTTAAACATATAGAATATTCGGGCAATTTGTTAAACATATAGAATATTCGGGCAATTTGTTAAACATATAGAATAATAGGGCGATTTGTTAAACATATAGAATATTCGGGCGATTTGTTAAACATATAGAATAATAGGGCGATTTGTTAAACATATACAATATTCGGGTGATTTGTTAAACATATAGAATAATCGGGTGATTTGTTAAACATATAGAATATTCGGGTAATTTTGCCATGGCAATGGTCAGTGTATTTCCAGAAAGGCAGGTTGGGAACACATTGTAAAACTTGAGCATTGAATCCACAGAGTTTCTGCTGGGCAACTCCAAATAAGCCTGCATAACAAAGTAGAACCTAGGTCACTTAAACATAGAATATTCGGGTGATTTGTTAAACATATAGAATAATCAGGCGATTTGTTAAACATATAGAATATTCGGGCGATTTGTTAAACATATAGAATAATCGGGCAATTTGTTAAACATATAGAATAATCGGGCAATTTGTTAAACATATAGAATAATCAGGCGATTTGTTAAACATATACAATAATCGGGCAATTTGTTAAACATATAGAATAATCGGGCGATTTGTTAAACATATAGAATATTCGGGCAATTTGTTAAACATATAGAATATTCGGGCGATTTGTTAAACATATAGAATATTCGGGCAATTTGTTAAACATATAGAATAATAGGGCGATTTGTTAAACATATAGAATATTCGGGCGATTTGTTAAACATATAGAATAATAGGGCGATTTGTTAAACATATACAATATTCGGGTGATTTGTTAAACATATAGAATAATCGGGTGATTTGTTAAACATATAGAATATTCGGGGATTTGTTAAACATATAGAATAATCGGGTGATTTGTTAAACATATACAATAATCGGGTGATTTGTTAAACATATAGAATATTCGGGCGATTTGTTAAACATATAGAATATTCGGGTGATTTGTTAAACATATAGAATATTCGGGCGATTTGTTAAACATATAGAATATTCGGGCAATTTGTTAAACATATAGAATATTCGGGTGATTTGTTAAACATATAGAATATTCGGGCGATTTGTTAAACATATACAATAATCGGGCGATTTGTTAAACACATAGAATATTCGGGCGATTTGTTAAACATATAGAATAATCGGGTGATTTGTTAAACATATAGAATAATCGGGTGATTTGTTAAACATATAGAATAACCGGGCGATTTGTTAAACATATACAATAATCGGGCGATTTGTTAAACATATACAATAATCGGGTGATTTGTTAAACATATAGAATATTCGGGCGATTTGTTAAACATATAGAATATTTGGGCGAATATTCATGGGTCCTTACAGTAGAAGTGATTCTGGCGACTCGGCTGTCACCAGATCGCTTCTACGGGCCGGTAAAGTGGCCGCTTTGAATGGATAAGGAATGATAGAACCAGATCACCAAAAGGAATCCAAGCTTCATGTAGATTGGTGTATAGTTTAGCTTCTTGTGAACTTCTGGATTATTTACATGTATTCTATCCCTATCAGAAGTAAAGTCCATCCCTGTCACCGGCCTGAACCCATAACGAAAAAGGTGCAGTCAGGGTTACATAAAAGGCTTTTTATAAAAGGACAATTTATTGCCAGTTCACACCGGGAGTGTTCATGCGTTTTAAACATGCTGTTTTAGGCCTGGTTCACAACTGAGCGTATTTATGCACGGATCTAGAAGTACGAAGACACACATTTCCATGCAAATCAATGGCGACTGTTCACACCTAAGTGTTGCGTCACGCGTAGGAAAACACCTGTCACGCAAAATAAAGCAGGAGCTATTTTCAGGTAGATGCTGTGTGGTTTTGGTCCCATAGACATCTCTATGCAGAGGAAAATGCGCGTTTTTTTAATGCAAAAACTAGCGAAACACAAAATTGCACAAAACAGCAAACATTTAGATGTGCACCTAACCTTAGACAACTCATTTAAACCGAATGGGGGGTGTGGCTTACAGCCTGACATTTATGCAGACAGGGAAAGAGAAGCAATTAGCACACACCTATGCCTGCAAGCTAAGGCTTCACTATAAACTTGTTAACATAGACTGAAGGTTCTCATTCATTCAGGTCATGTTATATCCGTAAAAATGAAGTCAAGGCAACTGGACTTGCTGTATTTTTCTTGAAGACGTTTCACTGGTCATCCAACCAGCTTTCTCACGGAACTGAGAAAGCTGGTTGGATGACCAGTGAAACGTCTTCAAGAAAAATACAGCAAGTCCAGTTGCCTTGACTTCATTTTGACAGATATTCTTAACATAGACTCCGCTTACTACGGATGATCATTCCTGACTGCAAAAAAAAAAAAGCTTTTAGACTGCAATAATATGAAGCCTATAAATTACAATACATTACAATATGCCTTTTCTACAAGAGCAAACGTTAGTAGTTTAATCATACTACTAAAATTGCCCGTGGTCAACTGATCAAACAAAGGGTTTTTATAGTGGGACACATGCACACAACTGAAGCACTGTGCGATAAGCGATGGCTTGCTTGCTAAATAATACTAGCCCCATAGGAACCCATTTGTTCCAAGTGCTACAATATTTCAGGGTGATATGGCTAGCACAGGGGAAGGCAACCTCGGAACTCCAGCTGTGGGGGTGAAATTACAAATCTCATCATGCCTCTGCCTGTTCAGTCTTACAATACCTCATGGGACTTGTAGTTCCACGACAACTGGAGTGCTGAGGTTTCTCACCTCCTGTACTAGCACACAAGGGCAAATCATCTAAGAAGTTTAGGACTAAAAAGTGTGAGGGGAAAAAATATTAGGCGAAAGGTGATTTTAGGGCAGAACAGTGTTGGAAATCCAAACTCGTGTGATACAAAGAGGAAATATTACAATGAAAAGCACAAGGGCTGCAATAAGTGTCTGAGGTCCCCAAAGTCTGCCTTGTCTGGCTGTAGCCTTCACACTGACCGCACAAGCCAAGACAAGCAGATCTTCAATGACTAGAGGCTCACACGTGACCATTGTCACAGTCTAAAGCTGGCCATACACAAAGCAATTTTCACCACTGTCCAGCAATCCGACTACCCACCTCTGAATCTCAGAGGTGGGGGGGGGACATCTAGTGATTTGGAGCAACATTCAACATATTTATTCCCAGAGAATTTTCTGCATTGGGAAAGCTGGTCAGATGTCCAATGAAACGTTGCCTTGACTGATTTTTTACAGATATACCATGACCTGGATGAATGAGAACCTTCACAGACATATTGTTCATTGGTCAAAAAAAAAACATTCACTTTTTCCAATTTGAGACCGAGTGTTTGGATTTCCACGCGTATGTGGCAGATAAAGAAAGAGGACCGACGCTTCATCATTTACTCACCTTTCGATAATTGGAGATGACAAGGATGTCGTTCACACCCCCAAATGGCCTGGCCAGGTTAGATATTTCCTCCACGGTGTATTTATCAGGTAAATTCGATATAACCACAACACATTTCTCAGCGTCCTACAACACAGAACCATTAACATTAGTAACAGCCAACATTGTTTTCTTTGTCTGCAGATATCACACACAAAAGCTGAAACTGACCTTTAGTGGGGGGTCCGCGAGGCGGTGACATTTGATGAAGCCTGGGGGAACCTCTGAAAAGAGAAGCATTACCAGGTCACTATATGCAACACAGAAAAATCATCCATCAATTCATGAAATTCAGAAGATCAGTGATGTTAGAAAGTGCAATTTCTGCTCTGATGAGACATCCTACAGCCAAAATCAGAGTTTTGCAAGAAAAGGTGTCATTCCAATTGTTAAGGGACCCCCTCACTGCAATGACAGTGATGTCCCCAGCCGAGGTCTCAGATTTTTAATCTACAATGGAGCAACCATAGCCGCACAAACATACACTATGCACTATAAGACTATATACTAGGGATGCGCCAATACCAGTATTTCGGTATCAAGTAGGAGTAGCGATATTTGTTTTTTTGCTATTCGCAGTTACCGGAAGACCCATTCAGGAATCCAGGCATTGTTTAATGACTCGCCACCTGGCATCCTGATTAGTCGGGCGATGTGTCAAGACTCGCCACCTGGCTTCCCGAATAGCAGTCTCCATGCTTCTTGTCACTAGGTGATGAGAAAGCATGGAGCCGGCTTTCTGGCCAATCAGGAAGCCGGGCGGTGTGTAATGACGCGGTGCCCGGCTTCCTGATTGGCCGGGAAGCCGACTCCATGCTCCCTCATCACAAGTGACGAGGGAGCATGGAGCCGGCTTCTCAGCCAATCAGGAAGCCGGGCAGCATGCAATGACTCACTGCCAGGTTTCCTGATACCGGAAGTATCGGGCTAGGCATCGGAGCATTTGGGCGAGTACTCGTCCAAATACTCGCCATCGATACTAGTACCGGTATCAGTGCATCCCTGCTATATACTATGCACTATACAACTGTGCTTTATGTTATTGCTGTCCTTCAAACACTTCAACAGTAATGGATTTTATTGGACACCCCTGCTTAGGCTGAAGTTAGGCAATTCTTTTGGCTATACGGCTCCGATAACACCGGTGTTGTGTGGTAGGAACCATATTTTTGTGTATGTTGATATAAGCTATACCTACTTAGTGCACAGTGACGTGCCTAAGGATACAATAAAAATATACTTATCTTGGTAACCGCAAGGTATCTTGCATTTTAACATGAAGATCAGGCTGATATAAAAAAAAAGTGCAGATGGGGAGAAAATAGACCAAAACCGCCCAATACAAATATAACCATGTTCCCTCTGCAGAGGTCTTTGTAAATGCCTATTAATTGAATGAACCACCTCGGCTGGGAGCCAAGATGACAGCACAAGCAAATTCCACTATAACATTAAAAGAAGGTCCAGGGAAGGACAAAACCATGTCTGTAATGCAAAGTGAAAACCACCCATCTGCACAGCATATTGTATGAAAGTAGATGTGTTGTACATCATTTTGGACTTGAAGAAAAAGTATCCAGCCTTACACAAAATCCCACGTCTACAGCTTCCAGAACACAGACATGTAATCACTAACTGTAGCCTTTTATGTGTAGGTTCTGCCATTACCCAAATTAAAAACTAGACACTTTGTTTATTGTCCGACTTGTCTAATGGCTGCTGCCTGGAATTCTCCTTTAATAATCCTGCAGTACGGGTTACCTGTCTGATTCTTCCTATCTGGGTTACCTCTCATTTCCCCTCCTACTCTTCTCGGACTTGCCAATAGATTTTCTTGAGCCCAGTTCTATGATAATGGGGTAAAAATTATTCCATGACGTTAATAGGTAGATGATGGAAATTGTTCTACCCATTCTGCTTTTTATTGTAAAATTGAACCCTCTTGGAGGGAGTTTGGTGGGGAAACTTTGATTTCCTGTCATCTGTCTTATTAACGCTTTCAATAAACGGAACACAACCCAACAAATGTGTAAAACCAAAAACCTGGGTGGGAAATACAATCATTTTGCATGCGCGAAAAACCTAGGTACTTACCAATATTATGTTTTGGCTCGCCTGGCTTTTTCTTTCTGTTTTCCTCTTTGTGTGGTTTTACCTCTTTATGTTCCTTCGCAGGTGCAGCTGGAAAAAAAAAAGCAAAGACTTGTAAAGGTGACAGATAAAAAAAAAAAAAAAGTTCATAGCCACCTCTAAGCATCAGAAAGATAACAGCAGGTTACATCGAGCCATGTACGGTGGTACCTCGGTTCACAAACTTAATTTGCTCCACAATTCTGGTCGTGAACCGAATCAAACTGTGATCAGACCGCGATCTTGACTAGAGGAAACCACGGCCACGTGTCAGAGCAGGGAAGATGGCCGCGGTTGTGTTTGTCACCCGATGCGGAGTTTGCGAACAGAAGCAAAATTTTGCTGAACTTCCTGGAGCGTTGGCGGACCGAGGCACCACTGTACTGTCCATCTGATTCATTGACCTGACTGGCATTAAATCTAATTGCCATTTCATGACAGACAGGTCTCAGCAACTTTGTCTCCAGTGTTACCGGGTAACAGAGTTCCCCCAATGCCTCTTACACACATTGATACCGCAGAGCTCACTCCACACTGTTCATGCATTTTACAAAACTACTCAGAAAATTCAGGATGTGGTGTACTATGGGGTATTCTCGGCTTTACACTGCACTTTCCAAATCTCTATTACATCAGTCATCAGGTCACCAAGGGGAGGCAGCTCCGACATGAGGAAACAAAGCCCTGTCTCTACCAAGATGGCCACCTTCACACAGACAGTGCAGTACAAGCTATAGTAAGGACGGCGATACATTATGCAGATTTCGGCTGGTTCTTCAAGATGCCTTTCTGCCGGCATCCCTCCGATCAGCTGATGGAAGGAGCCAGGCTGGAAATCTTCGTTATGACCTGCTGGCTCTGTTCGGGTATTCTGACAGCGGCCGGCAGCCACTGTCAGAATACCAAAACAAAGGCAGGGGATTCCTCGTTCAACGCTCGAAAAAACTAGAAGAGTGTAAGCCAGCTAAAGTCAGTAATGGGAAAGATCAGCTGCAGGAAAGCCTCATGCAATACTAGTAAGCAGTCTTTGCCCCCTGGGGACAGATCTTCTAACTATTCACTGAAACAAGTGTTTTTTGTCCATCTACAATTGGCGACATATCCCCCATACTGAATTTTCAGTTGGGATTTTAAGCTTTTTCATAAAATGGATTTAAAAGCAGAACCGGCAATACATTCATAACACAAGGAAAGGCCCATTTTGGCACCTCCAAAGATAATCTAGCATTGGAGGACTCTTATTTCACAGAACAAGCTCCTAGAGTTGTGCTCACAAGGCAAAGCTCCTATTAAATGGGACCATTTCCCTTTTCTAAGCAGTGTTTTAAAAACTGGTTCACGTAAAAACAAAACCTGTCCCTTCAAGCAGGCTGTGACACTGCTCAAATATAAGGAAACGAGTCCGACACCGTGCAACATAAGGCATGATGATGATGATAAGTAGAAGGTTTACTTGTGGTTTCTGCTACAAGGTAATTACGTCTCAGCAAATACGCCCCGCTGAGCACAGCCCTTGATAAACTAGTCTGAATATGCTAATCAGCTAGCTCCTCTGTTAAACTGCTTGCTGTGTGACTTTGCTCCAATATATTGTCAGATGTGTCACAATATTTGCAAAATTGTCCACAACTCCGAGCAGTCCCTTTACCACAAGCTTTGCAGTATTTCAATCCTACGTCACTGTGAGCCTCCATTTCATAGCCAAGCAGTGACTGCTGTTACTCCGCAATCCTAGAATAAAATGCCAAGTTTGGTACCTGTCCCACTCTTTGGCAAACCATAGGGGATGCCACTATTCACACTAGGAGGATGCTCATTAATCCTAATGCGGCATATTTATCAATGTCAGAAATAAGCAAAGATCAACCTGAAATAACTTACCTTTCTGAGGCGAGGGCTTAGACTCTGCGTCACTGTGAAATAAAAACCAGAGACAGGAATAAGTGTACTGGCATTGTTGCTTTGGCTTAACTTTATCATAAAAACTGTGTAAAAAGGGTAACAGAAAATGACTTTCCCCAACATTAACAAGTATTTTTGAATTGTTTTTTTTGTTTATTATACTGTTAGGGGTTTGGGGAAATTTCAGATGTCTAAACAGACCCCTGATATTCCCCTTTAAAAAAAGAAAAACAAAATTGAGGACACGGAGTCAACTATCTTTTTCTGCAGCCCCAGCACTCAACAAACAGGAAGCTCTAAGTACAGAGGCTTCCTGTTCATGCACAATCTGGAGATAATAAATATTTACTATCAACCCAGTCATGGATGTTCAGGAAGCCTCTGTACTGAGCTGCTTCCTGTTCATTCATAAAGTAAGCATAGTGATGTACAGCACTTCCAGTTCATTCAGCGCTGGGGTAAGCATAGTGATGCACAGCACTTCCTGCTCATTCATAACAGAGGGCACAATAAGCTTACTATGTCCTCAGTTATTTACAAACTCATCGATCAGTACTGATTCGGGCAGTATAAAAAGTCCTGCAATGCCCTGAACCTGGTAATTTAACCTGCCAAAGACAGGCTCCCTTTAACACAAACACAAAGTTGTAAAAACAATCTCAGCGGGAACAGTGCTACATTCCCATTGGCTCTTTGCGGTACATGAATTTTTCCTTCCTTATTTTTCTCTTAATTTTAGTTTATACTACTGTTGGTGCGTTATATCAGTAATGCATATGTGCTATGTCCATTTCTATGCTTCCCTGCCCCCACCCCCTTTCCCATAGTCCCTACTGTTGTTATCTGTTATCAGTTGAGCTAATATGGCTCTGTATGTTACAGGGCAGAAAATATGCTGTCATATTGATGTATGTATCCCAACAAAAACATCTAATAAAGATTTATCCGTTTAAAAAAAAAAAATTACAATTTACCACTTGGCTTACAGTAAAGGAAGAATCTGGCCACACTCCGTTCCACGTCGAAGCAGTTTCTTGAAAGGTAGTCAGTGACAGAGTCCTGCCCGGGGGTCCACCGCCTCAGACATGTTTCACCCAATCCTGGGCTTAGGCATAGAGCATGACTAAAGCTACGACTAAGCCCAGGATAGGGTGAAACATGTCAGAGGGGGTGGACCCCAGGCAGAAACCCGATGACCTTTCAATAAACTGATTCAGCGTGGAACCGAGTGCAGAAGGATTTTTCCTTAACTATATACCCGTTTGGTTGGAGCAAGGACGTGCTCCTGCTGGCGAGAACCCAGCTGTGTTTCCCATGCTAAAGCAGTGGGGGAGAGGTGCTTTATTACTATGTCTTGGAGTTACGGTTTGACTTGTGTTTATGGCTGATTATTTAAGTTACAAATAACTAATTTTCTAATATTTCTCAACCATTCACTTACTACACAATAGCAAGCTTACCTGGTACCTTTAGTTTCAGTCTTCGATGGTTCCTACAAGGAAGGAAAGGAAAACAAAAAAGTCTTAATCTTACAGGCTCAACAGCACTTCACAGCATCGGAATTAAAACCAAACCAAAGATCTGCAGAAATCATGAGGTACAGTGACAGCGGAGAGGACAAAATGTATAGGACTACAAGATCTGGCTTGGAGCTTCTGTCCAGAGAACAAGGTATCTTGTCGGAAACATGGGGCTTAAGATAATTCTGTGAAGGACGTTTGATGAAATCAGCATTCAAATCTGAAGGGACATCTCAAATGGCAACATTGCCGAGTTACTGAAACTAGTACTAGAAAATGTATTGCTACAGGTGAGAAACGGAGCGGATACTACCGGTAGTAACCATCACACCATATACTATCTGGTCAATAAAATTCTTGTGTAAAAATGTACATCTCTCATCATGCTGACATAAAAAAATGGAGACACCAAGAGTGGATGGCAAAACAAATGGCAAACGCACTCATCAATTTGTAACCAGCTCTAAGCAATTGATGAGTGCGTTTGCCATTTGTTTTGCTTGACTGATTTGGTGCAGCGACGCATGCGGGGGGTATCCTCTGCCGTTGTGATGTGCGGGGTCCCTTGTGCGTCCCTGTGCCTTTAAGGAGGTTGGGCTTCCTCTTGACAAACCTGCACCCAATTTTATCTTTTGCCACATGTGCTCCAAGATGGAGACTCTCATACTTTATAGAGTTAGGACCGCACTATATGGAGGTGCCTTGGCGCGGCTTTCACATTTTCTGCAGAAGACGTGTATCTAAACCTCTGTTTTAAACCTTAGCGGTGAGACAATTTTTTTTACATGCTGGCTGGTGAGTGTGCTGGGAAACTTTTTGCTGTTGTACCAAGAGTGGATGGAACACCATTTCCCCGAGTTGGCCCTGGTTTCGCATCTGTGTACATCATCCGCTATAGGAGCTGCTTCAGATTTTGTCAATTTCAGGCCTACAAACTCTAAGGCCCCGTTCACACTGAGCGATTTATCGCGCAATTTTTGCAGCGATATCGCTCATATTTCCGCGCGATATCGCTCTATGTACCTTCTCCAATACATTTCAATGGAGCTGTTCACATGTCGTCGCTCAATATCGCTTGTTGCTCGCCGCTGGTAGCTTGTCGCTCCTACATGACCCTTTTTTAGAGCGATTTTGAGCGATATTGCTCCTGATTGCATACAGCCCAATAGGAAAAAGTAACGCGATGTCGCGCGACACGTCGCTCAATATCGCTCGTCGCGCAATATCGCACGATTTTCATGTCGCTCAGTGTGAATGGGGCTTTAAAGTTGAGTGGTTGACTTGAAAGTGAAGAAAATTTCCGGTGGTCTTCAGGAACAAAAAATCGGAAACACAAGAGCAGCAGATATTAATGAAACATAAGTTAGGTTAAGCAAAATTCTTACTTTATGCTGGCCAGCCAGAGACAGGACCACATGCTTGCCGTTTATTATTACCGGCTTCGTTTCGCTGAACTTGACAGCAGCTGAAGCCGCCTCCTTGAAGTTGGTTTCCAAGAAAGCCTAAGAACAAGATTGAAGACTCTGTAATCATTGCCTTTGTCACTGGTGATGAAACTTTTATTTTTTTGTGAATCAGGGCTAAAAGTAAGTCACTTCTACTGCCTTCTCCAAACTTCACCCTTCTGAGAATAGCCCTGTTAGTAAAATGCACCAATACTGATAAAAAGTATCAAATCTGCCCCCATACTTAACTTTTGTCGAATGCTCCTTTCCCCTCCCCCATAGTGATCCATGGCTCAGAAATTGTGAGCAATCATTGGTCAGCGCAGTCACATGAGGGGGCCAGATTTGAGCAGGTAATTTCATTTTCCTAAATTACCCTTTAACCTGCCTGGCGGTCTGATTATGTCAGTATTTTTGAAGGTCAAAGCAATATTGTTTTGCATGGAAATTTGTTGTTTTATATTGTAGGCCTGTAATTCTTAAGTATAACTCACTTAAAACTGTCCAAACAAGAGTCTAGTAGACATCCCAGGTATGATAAAGTATGAAACACAAAATCATAATATAATAAAATTATAAAAAATAATAAATATGGATGTCCCGAAACCGATGCCAGTACCTGTATCGGGGCCGATACAGTTCTTGTACTCCTGAAAATGCCTCGATGCATGATCAGATACCGGCCCTTTAAAACATTTTTAACTAGCTTCGGCCATTGACCCCCCCATAGCTCCTCCCCCGGAATACCTCCACCTCTCCGGACAGAAATGTGACAGCATGGCGGGCGGTAAGTGTTCTGTGAAGTGTCTCTTCTCCCTGCTGGTGCTGGCTGCAGAGCTCGGTGTCCCTTTCACAGACCTCTGTAGCCAGCACGAGAAGACACAAAAGAATACGGCTGTGAAATCCCCCGCTGCCCCCCTCCCCCCTGTACCTTAGCTGCTGCTCCTCCGTGTCCCCTCCTTTTCAACTTGGTAAAACTGTTTGCTTTTGGTGATATATCACAAAGTGTGAGATGTCCGTGCTCCTTATGTCCGTGCTCCTTATGTGTCACCCGACCTACACAGCAGTTTTCACTCTCATTGAAAGAAGAGAATGTCCGTTCAGTGTGCTCACGGGGGAGGAGAGGAGAGAAGCTGCAAATCTTGCCTACAGACAAAACGGACCTTCTCTTCTTTCATTGAGAGGGAAAACTATTGGGTACATCTAGTGAGGGCATTATTAAACACATAAGGAGCATGGACAGCTGACACTGAGATATAATCACTTTTCCCCACGAATCGCTATCGCTCAATTCTGCAAGTGATTCTAAATCTGTATCGCTGTTTTCTACCCGGTCTAAAACCGCTTTTGATCTAAAGAAACGCTTTTTGGTTGCAATGGACTTTCTCAAGTTTCCAGGCAGAAAGAACGGTAAAAGCGCAGGCAGGGCACTGGACAAAGCTCTAGGGACAAAACTGAAGTGAAATGGTTTGATACAGTAATCAAATCATAACAGATTACAATGTATTGTGTGTATGTCATGTTTTCACTTTTGAATTTCTCGCCGGTTCCGCCCCCGTGACGCCAGCGCTCGCAGGGAAGGAACCCGGATGCCGGCATCAGCCGGAGGACATAGCGGGATGACACCAGGGGCTCGTAGGAACAAGGTAAGTGACACTACAGCGTAATCCCGAGTGTGGCTCGGGGTTACCGCTTTTGGTACTGAAAAAGAACCCCACGCCACACTCGAGATTGCCGCCGGGGAGGTTAAGGAAGGGGGGGGGTTGTTGAAATCGCTAGTGTCCTCTCTACAGGTCCCATTTGCCATGGTGGCATTTAGAAAAAGAATGCAAGCAATATACATGGATGACGCAGCAGTGCAGGCTTAGCGTCCCCAGGAAAGTTCACCCTACAATTTAGGTAAGAGGGGGTTTAGAGATGAGATATGTGATCATGTTTAATGTTACACCCTACATATGGGTGAAACATGGTATAAAAAGGTGAACTAGGCGCACAAAGCATACCCCGCCCCACCCTTCCACACAGCATGGAATGGAAGCATAAACAATAGTAACCTTAGAGAACTAAAAATGCAAATTAACTGTTATAAAATGCAAATAAGAGTTATAACACGTGCGTCATATAACAGATACCCTTCCAGGTTATGCATTTTGCCTGGAGCTACACTCCACTCATTTATATGCTATCAAAGACTGACACCCTTAATTACAGTTCAGATCAAAGCCTAAAAGATATTGCCAGATATGTTACATGGAACAGGATGAAGCTGTCCCAAAATCCAAGTTTACTTTCCATTATGCAAAAAACCTCAGCGTTCTGACAAGGAACTGGAGACATCGGCTTGCCATCACTCACCTCATTTTTGGATCGAATGATGAGGATATCGCAGACTTTTCCAAATGGCTGGACGATTTTCAGGATATCTTGGTCTGTGTAGCCACTATCTGGTAGGTTTGTCACATGAATGACCTTGTCAGAGGCACTCTTGCTGGTAAACTGTAAAATAAATTGCGCAATAGAATGTCAACAGGCTGCAACACTGGCGCTGGAGTTATCAAAGTAAAACAAAATAGTTCAGTAATAGATAGATAGTGTGGATGGTGGAGGTGTACACTGCCTCCTTAAAAAAGAACTATGGGGTAACCTTTTGATCCCATAGTTCTCTTTGGGGTCACAGGAGGACATATACTAACCTCCTCCCGTGACCCAAGGCACAGTATATAGCGTGCTTTAGCTCGCTATATACCGAGACCACTGCAGCCGGGACGGATCCCGACAATACTGTCGAGATCCACCCAGCTGGCTGTTTGACAGCGGGCTCTGCCTATCGGCAGAGCCAGCTGTGACCGCCCTCTCCCCAGTCAGCGCTGGAGGATTGGAGAGGGGGGGAAACCCTGCAGGGAGAGATGATTGACAGTCACCTCTCTCTGCAGGAAGATGATTGGGAAGTGAGCGAGCGACTGTATATGTTCGCTCAATTCCCGATTAATAGAGACTATGTGTGACAGTTTCAATGTCAAACATGGGCTCCAAGGTCTCATCCACACTGGAATCTTTGCTGCGTGCAGGGCCGTTATCGAGCAGCTCCCATGTGATTAGTACGCAGCCCCTCGTCCTTCTCTATGGGACTACGCAGCCGTACACCCCCCCTACGCTCACCTAGAGTGCAGGTCTATAGGGGTGCGTGTTTCCTGGCTCGGACGCAGACAGGATCCATCCCGTAAGCGTACGCTCACCCGCACAGACGTGCAGGGTGGGTGAGCGTAGGGCCGCGTAGTCCCATAGAGAAGGACGGGGGCTGTGTGCCATTCACACGCACCTGTCCTTCCCAGGAGCTGCTCGATACAATCCTGCAGGCCGCACGGAGCTGTACGTGCGAGCCGATTCCAGTGTGAATGAGGCCATTCTATGAGGAGGAGTGTAAAATCACTAACCTTATACTTCTACTTTAATGAGATATCCCTGCCCCATCCCATCTGCTCTTAACTCTGACTCTTCCTGTGATGCTGTAATATACGTTGGCATTTCTTTACAGAAGCCATGGTCCCCATTTATTGCATTGATGATAGCCAAAAAGCCTTAGGCTGGGTTCATACCTAGGCGGATTGAATATGCACGTTTTTCGCGCGTTTTTTTTAACCGCGATTCGCGTTAAAAAACGCACGAAAAACACGCGTTTCCGAGGGATATTTGGCTGTATCCCAATGGAACCGCCCGACCAAAACGCCCCAAAGAAGTACATGTACCTCTTTGGGCGTAGGGCGGTTTCCCGCACGTTCGTACTCATGGAAAACCGCCCAGATGGGAACCATGCACATTGAAAATAATGGCATTTCACTGTTTGAGCGTTTTTCCGCGAGTACGAAAGCGCGGAAAAACGCCTAGGTGTGAACCCAGCCTTAAATTGGCTGTAAGCAGTTTAGAATAAAAGGGTTCCATAATATTAAACTGTATCTGTACTGTAAACTAACCGTTCTGGATGTGCAGTTGGCCAAAGGGGAGTAAATAACTGATTTTCATGGATCCTCCCTCCCATCCTAAAACGAGGACCCAAACCCCCCTTTTTAGTTCTGTGATGGAAGCAAGACCTGCAAACACCCCCCTACCTATGAAGGCTCCACTATGTTTTCACTAATTAGGCCAAGGTTTTTTTTAATTCCTTATAACCAACACCATGACTTGATTGGATGTCCCGTAGTAGAAGAACCAAATGCTGTCATTGTGCTGGTCTCGGTCCTCGGGACAACCTTTTTACCAGACAGGAAGTGAAGGAGTCTCTCTAATGACAGTAAAACCTGACAGGAGTTCTAATCCTTCCTTACCCTCTCCAAAAAAAGTTTTGGCTATAGATACAATTTAATAGCGTTATTCACAAAAGGGTGAAGAGTTTGGAGAAGGCAGGAGAAGTCAACAATCTGGGACAACATAGCTGGACTGGAAAGTGATTTGAATTGGAGAATTTTTCCAAAATAGGTACTTTGTCCTAGATTGTTCACGTCTCCTGCCTTCTCCAAACTCTTCACCCTTTAATGAATAACACGGTCACTGTGTTCCCTTATAAATCAAATAAAGTGACACAGCGCTAAAGGTGAACAACAAAAATATATATATAAAAAATATAAATCAAGTAGTGGTGGTGTAGCGTTGAAAGTGAGTAAAAAACAATATTCCTAGTATGGTGATAAATATACAAATTAGTGAAATTATATTAGTGAAGTATGGTGATAAATATACAAATTAGTGGTATATTTATCACCATACTTCACTAATATAATTTCACTAATTTGTATATTTATCACCATACTAGGAATATTGTTTTTTACTCACTTTCAACGCTACACCACCACTATTAAATATATATAAATATATATAATTTGTTGTTCACCTTTAGCGCTGTGTCACTTTATTTGATTTTCAGGGAATCTCCCCCTTTTTTCATAGCAGCTTTAGGGCTAATTGCTTGTAGTTGGTTCCGAGAGCGCAGATTTTCATTTTTAGTGTTCCCTTATACTCTATGAAAACCAGAACCTACAAAAGCAGATGCATGCATGTGGCCAGTTTCTAACCTAAATATAGTGCAGCTTTTCTTTAATATACCCCATTAGCTTGTGAACGGAGTTATGCTAAAGGAGGAACACCAGTAAAAGATAGCACATGCCTTATTCAGAGGGTTGTAGGGCTCGGAAGCTGGCTGCTTAGATGGACCTTTCTGTGCATTAGACATCTTGTTCATTTGTGGTTTCTTGTTGGGAACAGTGCTGGTCCTTTTAGCTCCTGTACTCACAACAGGTTTCTTGGGGGCGGATGACGAGGCGGTCACTGGCTTCTTGCCCGTGTTGCTTCCGAATGGTCTCCGAGGTGCACTGCCGTTGCTACTGCTGCCAGACTTAACAGAGCTGCTGCTACCTGGCTTCTTTGAAGTGCTGCTGTAGCTTGAAGAACTGCTCGTCTTCTTCACCATACTGCCAGTATTAGTCACAGCAGGACTAGCAGCTGGTTTCTTGCCTTTTACGTTCGGATTCGCTGGCTTGGGTGTCAATTTCTTTGGATCAGGTGAAGGCTTTGTAAGCCTTGGCTTCTCTCCGCTTTTCAATTTACTTGCTTCAATAAAGCTCTGCACGGCGGCATCTACGGCTCTCTTGTCTGAAAGATACAATAGCATGCAGAGTTAGTATACAAACTAGCTAAATGGACTGAAGAAAGTGCAGTCCAGTATAGAAAAAGGCAGCTCCTGTATTACCAGGCGGAGTGCTGCTTCGGCCTCTCCTTGGTCTTCTTGGAGATGGGGAGCGCCGGGGAGATCTAGTACCTTTACGAGGGCTACGGGATCTCCTTGGGCTGTGCCGAGAACGGCGTGGGCTTCGACTCCTAGATCTCCTCCCAGATCTGGGGCTGCGGGAGCGTGATCTGCGAGCCCTGGATCTCGATCCAGACCTCCTAGTTCTACGTGGACTTCCACTCTTGGATCGCGATATCTTTGGGTTTGCCTCATCTTTTTTGCCTTCATTTCTGCTGTAAGAAGGCACATGCTGAGTCAGGGCCATCTCAATGTTCTACACCAACATTCAAAATATATGTTTTATTATTTAACTTAGTTGATGTTACACAGTAGTGTTCAATTCCTAACCCTGAGGGCCAGGACAGGGCTCAAAGTCTCAATCATTTGCTGCACTTGCAATCCTGGTTATATAGCAGTAGACATCACAGGTCTTCAACCTGACCCATACACATGAGACAACCATTATCCTGTATGGTTTCCACCAGCATATGCTCCACATTGCAAAGCAGCGCAGGGAGTTCCCAAGACCTAAAACACTGTCCTGACCCTGGGCAGCCCGGCTCCAGTGTAAACTGACACTTTGCAGCGATGATAACTGCATTTGGAATATTTGAAGTCAATAGATTTAAGAAGAGTTATGTACTAAAGCTGCACTTACCTTAAAGTGTGGACCTGGGGGTTCCAATCTGGGTACCTTGAAAAAAAGAAAAAAGGTCAAATTACTTTAAAAAATAAATATACAGTCACACACTTTAGCAAATGTTTAAGGCGCTCATAAGAAATGACTGCAGCAGTGCGCAGACCTAGGAACACAAGTGCAGAGATCTCATAACTGGAGTTTGGGACCCCCATGATCTGTTCAGTGACTTAAAGTGACATTAAACCCTCAGATTTTTTAACATAAAACAATACTGTAATGTGCGCCTTACTGTAATCCATGGTTGTTTCCCTTCTCTTTGCTGCTCTTCCTTTTAAATCCTCATGTCTTCTCATGCTGGGGGAGGACTTCCCTTTGCAGCGGAGTGCCTCTTCCTGTAGTGCTGGCTCAGGTTGTGAACCTTCACACAGACACCATGTATCCATTCCAGAGACAAGGCAGTCTGCTGCAAAACAGAAGTTCTGCCCAGCATGAGAATAGATATGGATTTAAAAGGAAGAGCAGCAAAGAGAAGGGAAACAACCATGGATTACAGTAAGGCGCACATTACAGTATTGTTTTATGTTAAAAAATCTGAGGGTTTAATGTCACTTTAAGCCAAGTATACATTTGCAAGAAACTAAATCTTTAAAACTAAACTCGAGCCATGCAATATTTTTGTTTCCTTTTATCAAGCAGAGCTTCAAGAAAACATAAAATTACAGAGTTAGTGTTCACCCAAAATCATGCAGGGCACGCAGAGGTAACATAAGTGCAACGCTCCACGTCTTAACTATTTTCTAAATAGGATTAGTCGCAAATGGTAGCCCTAAAGATTTCCATTGCAGTGACTAATTTAAAGAACTCCGGGCATGTACAAAATTAACCCTTGCAGTGGGACTACCCCGCAATGCAAGGGTTAAGTGCTCACTTTGGTCTAAGGCCTGTAATGAAAAAAGAATTTATATATAAAAAAATATATAATGTAAGCCATTCTATAGCAATACTAGCTGATGTTTTAGGATTGATCCAGTCCTATCAAAATATATATATTTTTTTATGATACTCTCACCTGATCCTTGATTGTGTGGCGTCGTCTGCTCACCTCTCTCTCCCTCTGCTCCCACATGTCCCTTGGCGTCCTCACGCCCATTTCAACTGAATGGACCCGATGACGTCGCAGGTCCTTAGACCGCCAGAGCCCAGGGGAGAAGAGTCTGCAGGGCACAGTCTCGCAGCCAGGCAGGACAGAGAATGCCAGGCAGGATAGAAAATTGAGCGAGCATTTTTTTTTTTTTTATTGTAGACCCTAGACCAAACTGTGGGTTAAACCCACAGTAAGGGTTACATTTGTACATACCCGGGGTTCTACTTTAAAGTCACAGTCCATCTTTTGCAAACAAATAAATGCACCCACACTGAAAATAAACGTGCATTTGATTTTTACATTTGAGTCTGCAAAGCACTACAACCATGAAGAGTGGATAACGGTTTCAATGCACAGGCTCCTGCAAACTCTTTCTTCAGCCGCTGTACAAATCTTCAGTTATTGGGATGGAGGAGGAAGTCAAAGCACTTGTGATCCACTGAGATCTACAAGTCTCTCTGTCATGATAGTAGATAGGACTTGTTGTCTCTCCATTCACCAACCCTCTGAATGGATGACACTGCTGTGCAGACAGACACATACAGCCAACTCCTAATTTAAAAAAATATAAAATGCTGGGGGAACCCACGATTCAAATAAGTGGGGGAGCCATTTGAGGGTTAGGGGCTGAGGAACATAAACATGTTTAAACTTTTCACCCTAAATATGGGTGTAACATCAAAAATGGTCAGAAAGGTGGAATCAGCCATTTATTCATACCAGATGTACAGTGTATGGACTGCAAGTATGAAGCTGACGTTATTGATTGGCTCCCTGCACATAATTTGAAGTGTCAGAATAGAGGTGTCTGAGATTTGTCAAGCTGTGGGTAGTCATGCATTTATAAAAAAAAAGCTGATGTCCTTACTGTTGACGCAACTTGCGGCAGCTATCAATGTGGGTTGTGGTGTTCTGGTGTTTAATCCAGTCCTATCAAACAGAGGAAGGAGGAAGCAGAAAGTTGTTATTCATAAACAGATAAGAGTACAAGCATTCTGCTACAGAAATCTGAGAGTGCACAAAACCTCTAAAGCACTTTAGAACAGAAGAGAGAAGAAAAATACCCCAAATCAACCAAATTCCTATGCAGTATATGCAGTGAAACATGGAGTATATGATTTATATATGGAGAATGTCTGAAATACTTTGCTCCCCCCCCTCCATCTTTGGCACACTTTTCTTCATTCATTAACTTGAGTAATCTGCTAATGTTGTGGTGATCTTAAACTATTACAGGGGTAAAAAATAAAAATAAACGTATGCAACTCTAAAAATGAAAGCACAGGGCACAAGTGCTCTACAAGCTGATTTTAAGGAACTCATACATGACCCTTTGTCACCTACCTTAAAAACAATAAATCCACCTAGCCAAAAACAAACACTTTTTAAATTGTCAAAACTGCTATGAAAACAGATTTACAAATTGAACGATGATGATGATGATTCCGAGGTTAATTCCACAGCTTGGATGCAGCCCTTCTCATCTGCTGGATCGCTGGCATAGACTTGCCTCGCAGGACTATGCAAGGGAAAAAAACCAAAAAACACCACTCTCCGCATCTGGTACTCCCCCTTGGAAAGGTCTTCACTTCGTTCACCGTGGCGGCATCGGTTCGTTTCACGCCAATGGCTTTGTCGGCTCGCTTCTGAAGGTCTTCTCATAAACGTTTTCACCCTTGCTATAATGCCATTCTATAGCAATACTAGCTGATGTTTTAGGATTGATCTGCAATATTTGTTCCTTATTTCAAAGTGGTGTCCCAACTCCAACAAGACTACCCCCAAATTCATAGGCAACACTGAAATCGATGCATTACGCCAATACCCAAGTACTTCGGATTGTCTCGTGTTTCTGGTACTCTGAGCAGCTAAAACAAGATAAGCTCTCTTGTAAACACATCCCTTGAAAAAGTATTTTAAATTATTTTCATACTGAAAACATTTCCGCTTCTGGGTTTTCCCCCCCTTGGAAGCCACCCCAAGTTTTAAAGATTAGGCTATGTAGGAGGGAGAGGAACAGATCTATATTTACAACCACTCCTTTCCTGGGCTGAATATCATGCATAGAGAGGGTAACTTTTTTTTCCCCCAGGGAAACCATTTTTTTCCCCCCATCCACTCAATTATGGGCAGGATGAGGAATGAATATGACCCGGTTCTGCCAATGGCTGACTGTGATTCATGTGACCCGGTTATGCCGATAGCTGACCTACTGATTCATGTGACAAGTTAAGTTTTAAGAAGGGTCTCTTTGAAGCCTTCACCAAATGTAGATTTAAACTTTTCAAATCTCATACTTTGATGAACTAAAGATGTATGGCACGAAACGCATAGTTCAAGCCTTTAAAAAAAGGCTTTCATCACTTTTACTGATGACAGGAAAGCCAAATGTTTCACGTTATATGCCAAGAACACTTCTTACAAGAGGCATTTTATTTAGAAGCCAACAGCCCAAAAAGACTAAACTTGAAGTAATTTGCAAAGAAAAAACACGATTGAAAGAAATATGACAACTGCCCCAAGCTCGGTTTTCCAGGTAATGTTGCAGCATTGTGCGACGTTTGTCAACCATCTCTCACAAAGCAGTATTTAGTGGGAATACCTATAAGACATGCATACACTGAATGTGAAACACAAACAAACATGAAAACACTCACCTTTAAGTGTCTACATTCTACGTTACAGAGAGAACAGATATGAGGAAATATCCGTGGAGAGGCAGCAAAATAATCATTCATCATGGAAGGTGTGGGCATACGCTTCTGCTTCTGAGCTTCCTCTTGAGGTAGGGATGGCGCCCAGTTCCCTTTCCCAGTAGGTGGAGTTGCTTCAGCAGGTGGCGGGTAGTTAACCTGGCTGACCACAGTCCCAATTGGAGACTCAACATTCACGGCTGGAGAAGAAGTGGTAGCGACAGTGTCCAAGATAACGGGAACATCACAGAGAGGGGTAGAATCAGGCTGGATAGTGATCACAGGATTCTCTGCAGTCAAGATGGTGGCTGAGCTATCACTAGCTTTAGCAGTTGTCGGCTCACCAACCAAAGTCTTGTTGTTGGATCTATCCAGCTTTGAAGCTTGCCACGATGACTTACGGCTACTGGATATAGTTGGGATTTTGTTATCCATTGCATTGTTGCCTTTTTTATTCTTGTTAGCATTGGAAGCTGCTGGTTGCTTGGAGACTGGTGATGGTTTCTGTTCGGTTCTTGAAGAGTCGAAAGGCCGTGAAGGTGCAGAATTGTCATTAAACTTGAATTTGCTTGAATGACCATAGTCAATAACTTTACTGGGTAGCACTTCCCCTCCCGATCGTCTTCCTCCTCCACCTTGATCATGCGTACCTCCGGTGCGGTTGATTTTACGTAGCCTGATGTCTCTCAGAATGTTGGGCAAGTTTTCCGGCGTCAACTGGTCATCAGGATAACGACTGAGCTCCTCCAAGTCTTCATTTGATAACCCAAAGCTTTCCAGTATGCTTGAAGCGCTTTCATTGGTATAACGATTCTGGGTTTTAGACATCTGACCCAATGATGAAGATGGACCTGGTTTCATTCCCATGTCCGGATTTAAATTTCCAAACATGCCAAGAGAGTTTAATGGCTTCTTCTCCGCAAGATGAGCAGTTTCCTGTAGAGGTGTTTTTGGATTTCGCCTTAAATGATCTGAAGAATGTGTCACCACGCGGTTCACTATAGAAGGGATTTCTTGATTCTGCAAGACCATTCTGGGTTGTGCTTGAGTCATAGGGTTACTGGGAGAAGAAAAACGTTGGGGCAAACCTTGAGGACCCATGTGTCTTTCAGGTGTTCTCAGCGGCATGCTTTTCATTCCCATCGTCTCAGAACTTCCTCCAAGAAATGACCCAGGACTGTCCATTTGCCTCATGCCAAAACCTTGACTTTTGATTTCGGGCTGAAAACCCATCCCTCCTTGCTTCATCCCAGTATCTCCCATTCTGTACAAATTGAGCGCAGATTGATTCATCCCAGGTTGACTCACGTTGGCAAGACCTGCGTTTGGATTCATTCCTGTATGGCCCATGCGGTTCATGCCGGTGTTCATGTTTGGCTGACTAATGCATGAAAGGTTCATGCTTGGCTGGCTCATGCCCGAAAGGTTCATACTTGGCTGGCTCATGCCCGGCTGGCTCATACTAGACATGCCCATGCCACTCATATTCATGTTAGACATATTCATGCTAGGCATAGTCATTCCGAGATTATTCAGGCCAGGCTGGTTCATCCGTCCCATTGGTCTCTGACCAGGGAATCCACCTCTTGGGTTAAACATGGCTTGAGCAGTGCTGATTGTCAACAAAACTTGATTTAACAAAGCATTAATAGGAGGCGTGCCGTTCGAAGTGACTGACGTCAACTGCTGGAGAGCCAACTGAGTCTTAATGTGGGCAAGCTGGGCAAGCAAATGAGGATGGCTCAACAGGATGGGGCTAGAAATGCCAAAGTTCAAGGTATTCACAACTGGTGCGCAATTTTCCAAGAACAACACAAAGCTGAAATTTAAAACACAGATATTAGATATACAATCTTTCACAATTGTTATACAGTGGGTACAACCAGATGGAACTACGGCAAGGAATTAAGCCCATATGCAAACTTGCTTGCAATTATTAAAATTATAAACTGGAAAAAGTCTTAAGGAGTGGTTGTAGGTGCATGACAAAACTCATAAATCAATCTCTCTGAGGCACATCTGGCTGTGTTAAGACAAGATGTACACACTATGGATAAAAAGTTCAAAAAAACATTGTCGACTTTCAGAGGGAAACACATCATCAGTGCATGAAAAACACCAAGGAAGCACATGAACATTTTTAATACTCAGATTTAGCTCGTCGTGTAAGAAATGTTACACACTCATTGTTAGAATGATGGTGAAAAGAGCAGAACTCTACAACTCCAACAACAAATACGAGTCAAGGAAACTCAAGTGTGACTAAATGCAAGAGCTGTATCAAAGAAATAAAAAGAGTAAATGCATTTTCCCCTTAAACCTTGATCTCAGGATTTCATTCTGCAGGAAAGAATCAGGTCCAATACAATAGAATGCACCATAAGCATTAAAGCTAAACTCCAGACAAACTAAACAGTTACACTGCATATAGGGAACCAGGTCTCCTGCCAAAGATTAGTAATTAAGGGCAGTGAGTGGTGTCATCAAGCTGACAACACAGCCAGGTGCTGGACCATTACTGGGTCAGGAACATTGGTAGCGTACTGAGGAAGTGGTGGTAGCTATGCATGTCTGCAGAATTACACCACGTATCACGCTGTAATCTCCAGATACCTCAGCAGACACAAACTGTGACAAGGGGTGTGTGGGTTTGGGGACACGGAGGTATGGTCACAGCACTAAAAATGCTTTGAACAGAATTTTTTTAAAAGGTAGGTAGTGCCACTTTTTACTGCCCAATAACTATTTTTAGCCCATAGTTATACTTTGCACTTTAATACATAACCAA